GCTTTTCTTTAAGAGAAAGTATATGCCAATAAAATAAGGAAAGAAATATTTTCAACTCTGAGGGGGAAAAAAGCTAAATTGACATAAACCAGTAGATTCTAACATTCCTGAGCGTGAGAATCCCGTTTGTAATTTTGGTAACTCTTACAGATCCTCTTATGATAAAGTACTTATACTTTTAGTATTCGATGATAATTTGCTGAATTCCCAAAGGTTGGGAGCTGTTCTTATACAATAAAAATATGGTGGAGCTGCATCATAAAAACAAGTTCAGCCAATGTTGATTGATTCACATGTGCCGTGTTAATGTCCGAGACAGAGCATGCTAAAGTAACATCTGCTGTGCTCAGAAAAGGAAGTAGAAAAGGGAGGGGGAATGGACTGGATCATGGTTCATTCATCCGAGTTATTCACTGAGCAGGTGTTGGGATATGTCAGTGAACAAATCCTGCTAAAACCCCCTGACCCTGCATTCCAGCAGGAGTTTCTCATAGATATACTAAATAAGTAAATTAAGAGTGTTAGGAGGTGATAAGTCCTATGGAAAAAAAATAGTAGAGGTGATAGGTGGGCTTCATTGGGAAGGTAACATGTGAGCAAGGACTTGATGTCATTGACAGAGTTGTCATGGGAGCATCCATGAGACCAGAAGAGAGAACAGTCAGTGAGAAGCCCTGAGGTGGGAGCAGCCTTGATGTGTTCCAGGAGCAACAGGAAGCCAGTGTGGCCTGTGTGCAGTGATGGAGGAGGGGAAAGTAGTAGCAGACAGGCCAGAAAGGGAGCGTGGGCCACGTCACTTAGGGCCTCGCAGGCTGTGTCGTTGCTTTGGCTTGTCCTCTGCCTCACATAGGAAGGTGGCAATGTAAACAAATAATCCATTTGAAAACAGATGGCCGTTTGATGTAGTGGTTGCCAGGGACTTGGGGAAGAGAGAATGGGAAGTGACTGCTAATGGGTAGAGGGTTTCTTCTTAGAATGATGAAAATGTTACGGAATTAGGTAGTGGTGTTGATTGTACAACCTTACCGATATACTAAGCACAATGAATTGTGTACTTTAAAAGGATTAATTTTATGGTATGCGAATTACATCTCAAAAATAATTTGGTTGCCAGGGCTTGCCAGAACCATTTTTTCCCCCTCTTGCATCTACTTAATGTAGCTTTTGCCTTTAAAAATTCAGATTTCTAACTAGTTATACCTTAACTGAGGGAAAGTCTCTTAGTGTTCTTGGCTGTGTTTTCATTAGAAGAAAAGAATGTTAATCTATTTTCAAGTACCCTTGCTGAAAATGTTAATGATTGTGAAATCAAACTTTTCTAGATAGTCACCCTTTTTATGTGCCTTTAGATACCTGTGTTCACTGTTATTCAGTAAGAAATGACAGTGAGATGTTTTTAACATCTGGCTATCAAAATGAATGTAATTTTTAGGCCAAGTTCTGTTATGTTTTACTAAACTAAAATATTCTCCATATAATTTATTTTGTGATTCTTGTATAGGGTAGAAAATTAGATCAATATGATAATGCTCTTCAAATTATGATCTAAAAGCATGCAAGTGAAAAGAATGCCTATTCATTCCATAGACCAAAAACCAAAATTGTGTGGTCTCCTCTACCAGAAGAAGAGGTTATTTTAAATAGAAATAGAGCAGGAAATGTATTTAGCTAGGGTTTTTCCCCCAATGTTTTAGATTTAACTTTGGCATTTCCTCAAATTTCAATCTGTGACAGCCTAGTAAAGTTGATTGAAATATTATGACCATATTTTACCTTTTTTTTCTTTTTTTTCCATGAGGGGAGTGTAGTATAATTTGGGTTTTACAGATAGTCTAAATGGTTTTCTTTAAAGAAAATAAAACCATTAAATACTACAGTCATAATCTGAGCAAAACATTGGCTCTTCTGTGGCAACTCAAAATATACAAAGCTACAAAAGTTATAACCGTTGGTGAAGTTATGGATCACAGAGTTTGCTCGACTGACTTCTCTTTGATGATTTTGAGTTGAGTGGTTATCCCTCACCAGAAATTCTTAATTAATAATGAAAAATATGCATGCCCTCTCTGTTTTTAGGCTTTTTAGAAGATAGCCTTTAACTTTTCCAGGCATCTTACCTTCAACTACATTATCCTCTCCTGTAGCCTCCCCTCTTGAAATTGGTGCCCTTGCCTGGTAAGAGCTCATTGTGCTGCTGTCCTTGTTGGGTGGTTTTTCTGAGACAGTGTTGGGGAGTCTAGAGCTCATCTTCTAACATGTAGATCAAATAGAAAAAAATGCTCTAAAAAATTGTAAGATAAGCCTTGTCACACCAGTTACATTTTCAAAATTTTGAGTACTTTAGAAATACATAGTAACTCAGATTTCTTATTTACAAAAAGTCAGCACCCTAGGAAAGAGATAATCTGCTTTTACCTCATTGTTCCAATATGAATGAATGTACTTAGAGGTTGATTAAATATTTTTTCTTCTGACCACGTCCAAATCCTTAAGTAATTACATTCTTAATACAGACATTTCTCATTTTCTTGCACTAGCTGAAAAGGCAGGTGGCTCTCCAGACCCCGCGTTTCTTGTTTGTGTGATGGCAAATTTACATGGAGCTGTAAGCATTTTGGTCAGTTAACTCGCAATTAGCTCAGTTTAGAAGGCGAAACATTTCAAAATGGTTTATTTCATAAAACTCTTTGCAGTCTTTGATGGCTTAAGAGAATGTTTGAAGCACTGAAATAAGCCTGTACTTTGGAGAAAAATAATGTTTTAATCTAATCTAAAAATTTGATTTTGGATGATGAACAGAAGTTAAAATGTGTACATTTATGGTTTTCATTGAGATAAACTAAGTATTTAAAGAGTTAGAAATAAAATATCTGACCCATTGTTATGAGCAAGTATTGCCTTAGAAGAACGTTGTGAAAATTTAGGAACTTTGGACAGTTGTACATGATTGCACTTAATATATTCTTATGTGTACTTCATCTTTGTCCAGCGCTGTTGCTCCCAGTAGATTGTGAATTATCTAGAAGCATACATTTGTAAATCTTTTTCTCCCAGCACCTAGTGCCTGTCACATAGTCAGGAGTCATTTAATGTTCATTGACTGAGTATTTTTGATTGTCAGCATCATGTTAAATCCAGGCTCTGGGTTCAGGTGGCTGTTGATGAATCTGCATGGACTATGTCTGTTTTAACCTTAAAGATTCAAAGTTGATGCCTAATCCTCCCTCCCAAATATTTGATCTGTACGTCTTAGCCAGTCACCTTTCAGGTCCACCTTAAATTAGAAAATGATATCATTAGTATGTTTGGAGTTTTAGTTTGGCTTTTTTGTATTTTAACTTAAGATGATACATATATTTTCTTTTTACTGGACATGCTTGAGACTGGGATTCTCTTATGTTCTGCCATCGCAATAGACGAGATACAGCATTCCATTTTGATTGCTGTTTCCTTGTTCATATTGGTAATATTTTTGTACTAAATACAGAATCCTAGAATAATTAAGCAAGAAGAGCCAGAAAATTCTACAAATGAAGAGCGAGGAGGGGAGAAGGGAAGATCTATCAAATATTAAAATATAGTATAAAGCTTTAATAGTTAAAACTATGTGGCAGTGGTACGTGAGTAGACAGGCAGATCAGTACAACAGAATAAATATGAAGTCCAGAAAGAGATCTAAACGTATATGGAAACTTAGTATGTTATCAAAAAGACATTTTAAATCAGTAGCGAAAGTGACAATTGTTAAAAAAATGATGTTGAAACCACTTGGTAGACATCTGAAAGAAATTAGGTTGAATCCTTTTATTCTACCTTACACCAAAATAAATCCCAGATGCAGCATAAATGTAAATGTAAAATTATGATATCATAAAAGTGCTAGGAAAAAACATGAAAATATTGTTATAATCTTCGAGTGATGGTAGCCTTTTTTAATTATATTGCAAAACCCAGACGCCATTTTTTAAAAATGATAAATTTGACCACTTATCAGATTTCTACATGGCAACAAAAAGCAAGGCATACAGAGTCAAAAGACAGATAAACTAGAAAATACAACATATTTTACAAACTAAGGGTTAATTTCCTTAATAGACAAATTAATAATCAGAAATCTAACAACAAAATGGACTAACTTTACGGAGAAGGATTTTAACTTCTGTAATAAAATTTTGAATTTTAAAGTTTAGAGAAGAGACATTTGGAATTTTCATTAACTTTGATATTTCTGAAAATTTTCACTAAATGATTTCACATAATCTGTACCATCCTCTGTTAATTGTCTACCAAATTAACCTTAGGTGAATGATTTTTTTCTTCAGCCTCTATTGTATAATCTTTGTTTTAGATTTGGGGTGCATAATTGGGTTATAAATATGTAAAAGAAACTTTATAGGATTATTATCATAGCTATTTCCCTGAATAAACTTATCTTTATTTGCATTTATCAGGTTAGATTGCTCATGGAAGCATATGGACAAGACAGTATTTTGTAATACATTAGAATGGAATGAATATTATCAACTGAGTCTCCAAAATTAAAAAATCGTTACTAAGGATAGTGAAATTCCATTGCAGAAAATAAGTTCATGTCATATATAAATTACAGTGCTTTCATATATGAAAAGAAATTTCACTTTGTTATTAACTAGCATTTAAAAAACAATGAGATTTTTGAAACTGGGTATTCTTAGTAATCACCTCAGCAAGAATCGTATGTTAAATATTTTTTCCAAAAGAAAGTAGAAACTCGGATCTTCCAGATCAACACAGGCATCCCAAGTGGTGATGTGTGACTTGTAGAGAGCCTTTGAATTGCACGTGCATTCTTGAGGTGGGAAAGCGATTACTAACAGAGTAGCTTAGTATTTACGATAGAGCTGTTTCTGGTTTACTTGATTTAAATTTGTGATTAAAACCTTTCCTGGAACTATAGAGCCATGTAACCAGGAAGTTACTGGTTAGTAATGCCTATGCCTTTTTTCTTCACTTCTCCTTAGGGTCAGTATAGACCTTCTGATTTGCTGTGTCCTGAGACATATGTTTGGGTCCCCATTGAGCAGTGCCTGCCTTCACTTGAGAACTCGAAGTACTGCCGTTTCAACCAGGACCCACAAGCAGGTATGTGTGAAGCACAGCTCAGACGGAAATAGTTGGCTTTGGTTTTAGAATCCATGCGTGTGTGGCTGTGCTCTTAATAGGGTCCAGGTGGCTTTTTATATATTGTGGAGTGTGCATGAGTGCATGTGTGTGTGTGTGTGTTTGTAAGATAGAGCGAGATACCACATGTGCCCACACACAACACTCACACTCACAGTTTTGCACATAAATGCAGAAACCTCATGTGCTTACTGACCAAGCTTCTCCCATTAGATTAGTGGCGTTTTTTTATTTGAGTTCATAATAGTTTACATCATTGTGAAATTTCACTTGTACATTATTTCTTGTCTGTCACCATGTAGGTGCTCCCCTCCACCCCTTGTGCCCAACTCCCAACCCCCTTCCCCTGGTAACCACTGAACTGTTTTCTTTGTCCATGTGCTTGTTTATATTCTACATATGAGTGAAATCGTCTGGTGTTTGTCTTTCTCAGTCTGGCTTATTTTGCTAAGCATAATTCCCTCCAGGTCTTTCTATGTTGTTGCAAATGGCATGGATTTGTCTTTTTTCCTGGCTGAGTAGTATTCCATTGTGTGTATATACCACATCTTCTTTATCCAATCATCAGTCGATCGGCACTTGGACAGTTTCCATGTCTTAGCTATTGTGAATACTGCTGCGATGAACGTAGGGGTGCATATGTTACTTCAGATTGTTGATTTCAAGTTGTTTGCATAGATACCCAGTAGTAGGATAGCTGGGTCACATGGTAGTTCTATTTTTAGTTTTTTGAGGAATCTCCATATTGTTTTCCTTAGTGGCTGCACCAGTTTGCATTCCCACCACCAGTGTGTGAGGGTTCCCTTCTCTCTACACCCGTTTGTTGTTTGTTGTTTGTATACGTTTGTTGTTTTTGGTCTTAGTGATTATAGCCATTTTAACAGGCGTAAGGTAGTATCTTAGTGTAGTTTTGTTTTGCATTTCCCTGATGATTAGTGATGTTGAACATCTTTTCATGTGTTTATTGGCCATCTGTATATCTTCTTTGGGGAAATGTCTGTTCATATCCTCTGCCCATCTTTTGATCGGGCTGTTTGTTTTTTTGTTGTTCAGTTGTGTGAGTTCCTTATATATTATGGAGCTTAACCCCTTATCGGATATATGATTTGCAAAAATTTTCTCCCATTTGCTGTGTTGTCTTTTGGTTTTGATCCTAGTTTCCTTTGCCTTGCAGAAGCTCTTTAGTCTGATGAACTCCCACTTGTTTATTTTTTCTTTTGTTTCCCTTGTCTGAGAAGACATGGTATTCAAAAAGATCCTTTTAAGTTTGATGTCAAAGAGTGTACTTCCTATATTATCTTCCAGGAGTTTTATGGTTTCATGACTTATCTTCAAGTCTTTGATCCATTTTGAGTTTATTTTTGTATATGGCGTGAGATAATGGTCTACTTTCATTCTTTTGCATGTGACTGTCCAGTTTTCCCACCACCATTTATTGAAGAGTCTGTCTTTTCTCCATTGTGTTTTCTTGGCACTTTTGTCGAAGATTAGCTGTCCATGTATGTGTGGTTTCATTTCTGGGCTTTCAGTTCTGTTCCATTGGTCTGTGTGCCTGTTTTTTGTACCAGTACCATGCTGTTTTGATTACTGTGGCTTTGTAGTACATTTTGAAGTCAGGGATTGTGATGCCTCCAGCTTTTTTCTTTTTTCTCAGTATTGCTTTAGCAATTCGGGCTCTTTGGTTGCCCCCTATGAATTTTAGGATTCTTTTATTCCTTTCTCTTGCCTAATTGCTCTGGCCAAGCCTTTAATACTATGTCGAATAAGAGTGGTGATAGTGGGCATCCTTGTCTTGTTCCTGTTCTCAGGGGGATGGTGTTCAGTTTTTTCCCCATTGAGTATGATGTTGGCTGTGGGTTGTCATATATGGCCTTTATTATGTTGAGGTACTTTCCTTCTATCCCCATTTTGTTAAGAGTTTTTATTATAAATGGCTGTTGGATCTTGTCAAATGCTTTCTCTGCATCTATTGAGATGATCACGTGGTTTTTATTCCTCATTTTGTTAATATGGTATATTACATTGATTTGCAGATGTTGAACCATCCCTGTGTCCCTGGAGTAAATCCCACTTGACCACGACGTATGATCTTTGTGATGTATTGCTGTATTCGGTTGGCCAATATTTTGTTGAGGATTTTTGCACCTATGTTCATCAGCGATATTGGCGTCTAGTTTTCCTTTTTTGTGTTGTCCTTGTCAGGCTTTGGTATCAGAGTGATGTTGGCCTCCTAGGATGTGTTAGGAAGCGTTCCATCTTCCCTAATCTTTTGCAATAGCTTGAGAAGGATGGGTGTTAAATCCTCTCTGAAAGTTTGGTAGAATTCCCCAGGGAAGCCCTCTGGTCCTTGGCTTTTATTCTTTGGGATGCTTTTGATTACTGTTTCAATCTGTTTACTTGTGATTGGTCTATTCAGATTCTCTATTTCTTCTTGATTCAGCTTTGGGAGATTGTAAGTCTAAGAAATTATCCTTTTCCTCTAGATTGTCCATTTTCTTGGCATATAGTTTTCCATAGTATTCTGTTATAATCCATTGTATTTCTGTGGTATCTGTTGTTCTTTCTCCTCTTTCATTTCTAGTTTTATCTATCTGAGCTTTCTTTCTTTTTTTCTTTATAAGACTGGCTAGGGGTTTACCAATTTCATTTATCTTCTCAAAGAACCAGCTCTTTGTTTCATTTATTCTTTCTACTGCCTTTTTTGTTTCAATAGCATTAATTTTTGCTCTGATTTTCGTTATTCTCTCCTGCTTACTTTGGGCTTTGTTTGTTCTTCATTTTCTAATTCAGTGAGGTGTAGTTTAAGATTGCTTATTTGGGTTTTTCTTGTTTGTTACGGTGAGCCTGTATTGTGATGAATTTCCCTCTTAATACAGCTTTTGCTGCCTCCCATATGAGTTGGTATGGTATGTTTTCATTTTCATTTGTCTTCAGATATTTTTTGATTTCTCCTTTAATTTCTTCAACGATCCACGGCTCATTCAATAGCATGTTGTTTAGTCTACACATCTTTGTCCTTTTCTCAGCTTTTTTCTTGTAACTAATTTCTAGCTTTATGGCCTTGTCATTGGAAAAGATGCTTGTTATTATTTTAGTCTTCTTAAATTTATTGAGGCTTGCCTTGTTTCCCAACATCTGGTCTATTCTTGAGAACGTTCCATGCACACTTTAGAATTTTGGATGGAGTGTTCTATATATGTCTATTAAGTCCATCCAGTCTAGCTTTTCTTTTAATTCCACTGTTTCCTTGTTAATTTTCTGTCTGGATAATCTATCCAATGATGTGAGTGGAGTGTTCAGGTCCCCTACTATTATGATGTTATTAATGTCTTCTTTTAGGTTTGTTAATAGTTGCTTTATGAACTTTGGTGCTCCTGTGTTGGGTGCATAGATATTTATAAGTGTTATTTCTTCTTGATGGAATGTCCCTTTGGTCATTATATATTCCCCTCTTTGTCTTTCTTTACCTATCTTATCTTGAAGTCTACTTTGTCTGATATAAGTATTGCAACACCTGCTTTCTTTTGTTTGCTGTTAGCTTGGAGTATCATCTTCCATCCCTTCCCTCTGAGCCTGTATTTGTCATTGGAGCTGAGATGTGTTTCCTGGAGGCAGCATATTGTTGGGTCTTGTTCTTTAATCTATCTCGCCACTCTGTATCTTTTTATTGGAGAATTCAATCCGTTCATGTTTAGGGTGATTATCAGTATATGAGGACTTAATGCTGCCATTTTATCAATCATTTTTCCAGTTCTCTTGCATTTCCTTTGTTTCTTGTCCTGTGTATTTTAGTCTACCAATTGAGTTGGTAGTTTTTTATGTTGTATTTCTTTGTTTTCTCCTTATTTATTATTTGTGTCTCTGTTCTGTTTTTTTGTTTAGTGGTTACCCTGAGGTTTGTATTCAAGATCTCGTGGATAAGATAGTCCATTTTCTGATGGCCTCTAATTTCCTTAGACTAAACCGATTCAGTCCCTTTCCTTTTCCCTGTTAAGTTGTTTTTCTCACATCTTATTCCATCTTGTGTTATAAGTTTTTGGTTAAAATGACAGGATTATCTGTGTTTTTGATGTTTTCCTTCCCTTTGTTTTTAATGCCTTACTTGAGTATTTGCTGTTCTGCTCTGATTCTGTCTACCTATTTAACTCCTTACACTGTGCTTTGTAATCCCTTTTTCCTCCCCCTTTTTTTTCAAGTATGAGGGCCTTCTTGAGGATTTCTTGTAGGGGGGGCAGTCTTGTGGCTACGAACTCCCTTAGCATATGTTTGTCTGGGAAAGTTTTTATTTCTCCATCATATCTGAAGGATATTTTCACTGGATAGAGTATTCTTGGCTAAAAGTTTTTGTCCTTCAGTGATTTGAATATGTCATTCCAGTCTGTCCTAGCCTGTGAGGTTTCTGCAGAGAAATCCCCTGAAAGCCTGATGGGGGTTCCTTTGTAGGTTATTTTCTTCTGCCTTGCTGCCCTTAGTATTCTTTCTTTGTCATTCAGTTTTGCCAGTTTCACTACTGCCTTGCAGTAGGTCTTTTTACATTGTTATATTTAGGAGATCTGGCAGCCTCTTTCATATGGATTTCCTTCCCTAGGTTTGGGAAATTCTCTGCTATTATTTCTTTGAACAAACTTTCTGCTCCATTCTCCTTCTCCTCTCCTTCTGTAATACCTATAATTCTTATGTTGCATTTCCTAATTGAGTCAGCTATTTTTTGGAGACTTTCTTCATTTCTTTTTAGTCTTAGTTCTCTCTCCTCCTCTATCTGGAGCATTTCAACATGTCTATCTTCGATTATGCTGATACACTCCTCTATGGTGTCTACTTGAGCGTTCAGGGAATCCATATTTTGTTTTATTTCTTCCATTGTGTCTTTCATCTCTAACATTTCTGATTGATTCTTCTTTGTAGTTTCAATTTCTTTTGTGAAGTAGCTCCTGAGCTCATTGAATTGTTTGTCTGCATTC